ACCACAACAACACAGTAGGTATAACATCATTACAATCTAAGTTATTCACCTTTCATACTTGAGTTCGAAGAAGAACCAACCTTCATACCTTCTTTCCTTTCATGGGACATCCATTCTTCAATTACCAAATAATTCATAACCAATACATAATACAAGGTAATTCATGAAGTAATAACATAATCAACATCAATATAAACAATTGACATATTCACTTCATAGCCTTAATGGTTTCATTCAAAGACTCAACCCTAATTTTGTAGAAATTATACATAACCTAGGGTAAATCATCATACAAGCATGATTTACATAACATCACATTCAACTCATAGCCTTTAATTGATATCCAACAGAAACTAGGGTAAGAATTAGGAAAAAAAGGAGAAACATGGGTCTCATGGGGAGTTCTTCAAGAAACCACCAATACAACATAAATTCATCCATAATTTTTCATATAACATCAATCAAAGTTTAGAAAGAAGACCCAAATTTTTGGGTTGAAACCTAGAAATTGGAGATTTTGAAATTCATCTTGAAGGGGCCTTTTAGGGAAAGAAATCCCAGAGTGATAAGCAACCATACCTTATTGACGAATTAACCATGAAAATCTGAGTTGAAACCTTGGAGAGTTGGTCTTTTTCTTGAAGCTCCAATGTCCGTCAATGGAGTTCTTGAGAAGAGAGAGAGAGTAGAGAGAAGGAGGAACTTTAGGTTTAGATCTTTTGGGTTTTGTGTTTGAGTGATACAAATGAGGTAAATTGTCTTAAAAATCATTATATACACGTCCCCTAAAGTACACTAAATACCCCTCACTTAGTTGGACTCTTTAATGAAGTAAAAATTAGATTTCTGAATTTCTGCATTTTTGTCGCGGAGCAAGTCTGCGACGCGGACCTGTTCTCTGAAGATATTTGGAATTAAATTTTGAGATAGTAGAGTCCGCGTCGCAAACTAACTTTTTGCTTCTTGGGGGAGCTAGTCCGCGACGCGGATGCATTCCCTCCCAGTGCAATTTGCAAGCTGCCTTGGCAGCTTGCTTCGCCAAGGTTGGGGTTCTTCTCGGGGCCCCTTAGGGTGGCTCCAGGGCGTTGTATTTGAACGTTTGGACCCTATAAACATATATTTACCTAATTTAAACATTTTTACAAGATTATATCATCATACGACACTCCCAAACTTGCCCAAAACCTGAGGACACACTAGAACACATTTTTCTCTAGTTTCCGGATGTCGTGGTCGTTTCTTGACGTTTAGACTTTTACTCTTCCAAACCAAGTCAATTACATTAATTTAGGTTTAGAAACATCATTTTAATTATTTTTAACTCATTATTCATAAAGTGAGGCTCTAACTTAAGTCATAAAATTTTTGGGGTGTTACAATATCCCCCCCTTAGGAACATTCGTTCCCGAATGTCACTTGGACTTATTTCTAGGGAGAGAATGACTTAAACTAGCAGCACAACAACCAGTTACATCAACGACATCATATCATCATATCATCATATCATATAGGAATTTAATCCACAACATCACTTTGCTCAAAACTCTTTACTTCAGAGAAGTATTGGAGGAACTACATTCTCATCAATGAGCATCAACATATATATTAAGCAATCAACAAGACATTTCTTTAAAAAGACAACATAAAGCATGCTCATTACAACTCTCATGAAGACAACATCACACAACATCTATGGGTGCAATTTCAACCATGAGAACAAAATTCATGAAAACTCAAAATACAACTTAAGCATGAATTTTCACAAAAATATGTACAAGGAAATCCTATCATAATCATCAACACGCATGATTTTAAATTTATACCTAATTAAGAGAGACTACTAACCTCAATTTTGGCTAGGTGTATGTTACACCCCGGAAATTCTATGATTTAAGTTACAGCCTCATCTTATGAATGGTGACTTAAAAATAATTAAATTGATGTTTATAAACCTAAACTAGGGTAATTGACTGGGTTCGAAAGAGTAAAAGTCTAAATGTCAAGAAACGACTACGACGTTCGGAAACTAGAGAAGAATCTGTTCTAGTGTCCTTAGGTTTTGGGCAGGTTTGGGAGTGTCGTATGATGGTATAATCTTATAAAAAGAGTTAAAATAGGTCAATATATGTTTATAGGGTCAAAATATTCAAATACGATTCCCCAGCACCACTCTAAGGGGGACCCCAACCATGGACAAGCAAGTTGCCCAGGCAGCTTGCAAATTGCTCTTGGAGGGAACAAAGGCACGTCGTGGACTTGCTCCCCCAAGGAGCAAAAAGTTTGTTCGCGACGTGGTTGTGTCGCGGACTCTACTGTCTCGAAATTTAATTCCAAATATCTCCAGGGAACAGCTCTGCGTCGCGGATTTGTTCGGCGACAAAAATACAAAAATTCAGAAATCTATTTTTACTTCATTAAAGAGTCTATTTAAGTTAGGGGTATTTAGGGTACTTTAGGGTACGTGTACATAATGATATTTAAGTCAATTTACCTCACTTGTATCACTCAAACACAAAACCCCAAAGTTCTAAACCTAAAGTTCCTCCTTCTGTCTACTCTTTCTCTCTTCTCAAGAACTCCATTGAAGAAGATTGGAGCTTCAAGAAGAAGACCAACTCTCCAAGGTTTCAACTAAGATTTTCGTGGTTAATTCGTCAATAAGGTATGGTTGCTTATCACTCTTGTGATTCTTTTCCCCATGAGGCCCATTCAAGATGAATTTCAAAATCTCCAATTTCTAGGTTTCAATAAAAAATGTGGGTCTTCTTTCTAAAGTGAAATTGATGTTATAAACTTACTTCGATTGATGTTAGATTAAAAATTATGGATGAAATTATGTTTTATTGGTGGTTTCTTGAAGAATTCCCCATGAGACACATGTTTCTCCTTCTTTTCCTAATTTTAACCCTAGTTTGTGTTTGATACTGAATGAAGGCTATGAATTGAATGTGATGTTATGTTATTCATGTTTGTATGATGATTCTACCATAGGTTATGAATAATTTCTATGAAATTAGGGTTGAGTCTTTGAATGAAGCCTTGAAGGCTATGAAAGGAATATGTCAATTGCTTATATTGATGTTGATTATGTTATTACTTCATGAATTACCTTGTATTATATATTGGTTATGAATTTGTTGGTAATTGAAGTATGGATGTCCCACGAAGGGCATGAAGGTATGAAGGTTGGTTCTATTTGAACTCATGTATGAAAGGTGAATTACTTAGATTGTAATGAGGCTATACCTAATGTGTTATTGTGGTGTTGATGACCTAGTTTCCTCATCCTTAACCCTCTACACTTGAATTACATGTGAAGTATGTATGTATATTATGGTATGATTGCTATATGATTGAAAGATAGTTCTCATGATTGTAGTGTAATGTAAAGTGAAAGGTTTACTCACTTGCTAAGTGTCTCTAAAGTGAAAGGATTGTTACTCACTTATGAACACATATGAGCTATTATGGTGAGATGTCTACATAAGTGTCTATTAAAGGCTAATGTGAACTTTTGTGATGACTAAATATGATTACAAAAGGGAATCATATGCTTATCACCGAAAGGGCATGTAAATGAGATAGGGGTCTCACGTTTAGTAAGTCCGGCTGCCCACATGAGTTTCCTCACGTTTAGCAAGTACGGATTACCTACGGTATGTGTTGTCTTAAGAGATGGAAACCCCCACGTTTAGTAAGTTAGGGTTTCTAGAAGCATTCTCCTTGACCCTTAACGAATGGTTACAGCTTAGGCAAGTGTTAACCCTCTTTTTTTCAGTGTGGGAGTAGAACACCGAATTCCATGTAGCTCTCATGGTCTATGTCGGTTATTGCAATATTTCCCTAATGTAAAAGTAAATGAAGGTATGAAAGGTGTGTACTCTTACTAGGGCTTTGTTAAGGGTTTCTACATAGTGTAAGGGAGGGTATGGGACTTCTCTAGCACATTGCACTTCTGGGATCGTAAGGGATGGTTGTAGTACTGTTCTCTTATGATTATGATTATTATGACTTATGTATGTTGAAGCTATGTTATGTATGATCATTATGAATGTGGTAAGTTATGATAAAATATGATCTTATGAACGTACGCATGAAGTAGGTTGCTTAATGTGATAGTTGGCTTTGAATAGGGTTATGGGGTTCTATTCTTTGCATTGCACTAGTATTGCTTGGGTTTTCTACAAGTTGGGCTGATATTATGTTGGTTTGGACTATGATACTTAATTTGTGTGCGTATTCGATTTACTTGGCAAAAAGCATATTTTGAATAAAATGTCCTTTTATGCCTGTTTCAACGGTTTTTATGCATAGTAGTCATACTTAGTACGTGTGTTGTACTAAACCATATTTTCTCCCTTTTTCACAAACATTTAGGTTCGGGCCGTTGAGGATTCAGGCTTACTTCTCAAGACACTAGGAGTTGCTTCCCCAAGTTGGTGAGTCCTCAAGTCCGAGGACAAGACCCTATGATCTAGCTTCTATGTTTAGTTCTTTGCTTTTGTTGAAATATATTGTTGCACTCCTATTTTCAAGACTTCTTATTGATGTAAGGGCTAAGTCCTATTTTCGATACTTCTATGTCTAGATGGTGCATTGTGACGAAGTTAGATTCTATTTTTCATATATGAAGTGAAGTTGAACATCGAAAGTAAAAGTTTTAAGTTTTCCATGATTTTATTCTATCATACATGTTATGATAAATGCTAAGGACTTTTATAAGACCTCTTCGAGGTCGAATGTGCATGTAACGACTAGGGGGTGATCTCGGGTCGTTACAAACTTGGTATCAGAACATAAGGTTGAGAATAATGTAGGATTTACGTCACAAGATACCACATTGAGTAGAGTCTTGTTTATGGGTGTGAAGCGCATCACACTTATGAATGAGAAGCTACGAGATGCTTAGGAACTTTTACTCTTTTGTTATTCCATAATCGTGCCTAAGAGTCTTAACTCTATTTAGTCCTTTTCTTCTAATACTTCTCTTGTGCTTATAGGCAATGAATACAACAAGGAACAACGCAAGGAAGGCCGGTGAGGAGAATGTGAATGAGGCGGTTCCCCCTCAAACTCCTCTAAACCCTCTAGTTCCTATTGAAGAAGGGGCTATGTCTAATGCTGATATAAGGTCGGCTATTCATAATTTGACTCAAGTGTTGGCAACTCAAGTTGCAAGGGATTCTAGGGTACAAGTGAACCCCAATGCTAGCACTACCGCTTCTAGGTTAAGGGATTTCACAAAGATGAATCCCCCTACTTTCTTTGGGTCCAAGGGTTCATTGATGAAGTGTTTAAGGTTCTAGAGGCTATGGGTGTGTCTTCTCAAAAAAAGGTGGAGTTAGCCGCCAATCAACACAAAGATGTGGCACAAGTGTGGTGTGAACAATGGAAGGAGGGGAGACCTATTAGAGAGGGTCCGATAAGTTGGGCTATATTCAAGATGGCTTTTCTTGATAGGTTTTCTCCCTTGGAAATAAGGAAAAAGAAAATGCAAGAATTCATCAACCTCCGTTTAGGGGGTATGAGTGTGAAGGAGTATGGCCTCAAGTTCACTCAATTGTCCAAGCATGCTCCTACATTGGTGTCATACTCTAGAGCTACATTGAACAAATTTTTTATGCGTGTATTCGTTCTTGTAGTGAATGAATGTAGGTCGGCTATGCTAATCCCAAGCATGGAGATTTCTTGCCTTATGGTTCATGCCGAGCAAATTGAGGAGCAAAAGCTTAAACAAGTTGGTAGAAAATTGAAGAGGTCAAGGATCGATCATGGAAATTCTTCCAAAGTTAGGTTTGAAATCCAAGATAAGCCAAATTTCAATAAGAGGTTTTTAAACCAAGGTCCTCCTAACACTCCAAAGGTCAACAAAGGTAAAGTGTCTACCCCAAAGCCTCAAGAAGCAAGACGTGGTGCTCCTTATGTTGTGAAGCCTATTTGTGCAAAGTGTGGTAAAAAACATGAAGGCAAGTGCCTAGTTGGCACGGATAATTGCTATGGTTATGGTAAGAACGGCCACATGAGGAGGGACTGCCCTATGCTAAACACTCAAGGAAGAGAAAATGCTCAAGCACAAGCAAGTGGCCCAAATACCGATGTTCCTAACAACAATCGCTTATATGCTCTCAATCCCGAGGTGATCAAGAGAGCTCTCCGGATGTTATGACCGGTATGCTACAAGTATTTTCAATTAATGTTTATGCATTGTTGGACCCCGGTACCAATTTGTCTTTTGTAACCCCTTTAGTGGCTATGCACTTTAATATACTTCCCGATGTCTTAGATAAACCCTTTTCGGTTTCCACCCCAGTGGGTGATTCCATAGTTGTTAAAAGAGTCTATACGGGTTGTCCCATATCATTGCCCAATAGAGTCACTTTGGTTCATTTGGAGAAACTTGATATGTTAGACTTTGATGTTATATTGGGGATGGATTGGCTTCATGCTTATTTTGCATCCATAGATTGTAGGACCCGACTTGTGAAGTTTCAATTTCCTAATGAACCCATTTTAGAATGGAAGAGAGGAAATTTCGTTCCTATGGGAAGGATCATTTCATGTCTTAAAGCTTGTAAGTTGATTTCTAAGGGTTGTCTCTATTATATTGTGAAGGTCAAGGATCTTGAGTCCGAGAATCCTCCTTTGGAGTCGGTCCCCGTAGTGAAGGATTTTTTGGAAGTCATTCCTGATGACTTACCTGGAATTTCTCTTGAACGGGAAATAGATTTCGGCATCGATTTATTGCCGGATACACAACCCATTTCAATCCCTCCTTACCGGATGGCCCCGGCGGAGTTGAGGGAATTAGAAGTTCAACTCAAAGATTTGTTGGATAAGGGTTTCATCCAACCTAGTATATCTCCTTGGGGTGCACCGGTGTTATTTTTGAAGATGAAGAATGGATCCCTTCGTATGTATATTGATTACCGATAGTTAAATAAAGTGACCATTAAGAACAAGTATCCACTCCCTAGGATTGATGACTTACTTTATTAACATCAAGGAGCGAGTTACTTTTCAAAAATTGATTTGAGGTCGGGTTATCACCAACTTAGGGTGAGAGGTGTTGATGTTCCGAAAACAGCCTTCCGAATAAGATATAGTCATTTTGAGTTCTTAGGGATGTCCTTTGGTCTTACAAATGCCCCGGCGGCTTTCATGGATCTTATGAATCATGTGTTTAGAAATTTTCTAGACTCATTTGTTATTGTATTTACTGATGACATCTTGATTTACTCTAAAAGTGAGGATGATCACATGAATCATTTGAGGATAGTATTGCAAGCCCTCAAAGATTACCAACTCTATGCTAAGTTTGGCAAATGCTAGTTTTGGCTAAGATCGGTTGCTTTCCTTGGTCACATTGTTTCTAGTAAGGGTATAGAAGTTGATCCAATGAAAACTGATGCGGTCAAAAGTTGGCCTAGACCTTTGAATCCTTCAGACATTCGAAGCTTTTTGGGTTTGGCCGGTTACTACCGAAGGTTTGTTGTGGGATTTTCATCTATTGCATCTCCATTAACGACCTTAACTCAAAAGAAGTCCAAGTTCGAATGGTCGGAATCTTGTGAAAAAGCTTCCAATTGTTGAAAGATAAGCTCACCTCCGCTCTGGTTTTGACCTTACTGGATGGCACCGAAGGGTTTGTAGTATATTGTGACGCTTCCCGAGTGAGTTTGGGTTGTGTCCTCATGCAGCATGGTAAGGTTATAGCTTATGCCTTGAGACAACTCAAGGTGCATGAGAAGAATTATCCAACTCATGACCTTGAGCTAGCGGCCGTAGTCTTTGCTTTAAAGATTTGGAGACACTATCTCTATGGGGTACATGTGGATGTGTTTACCGACCACAAGAGTCTTCAATATGTTTTTAGCCAAATAGAATTGAATCTCCGACAAAGGAGGTGGTTGGAACTCTTAAAAGATTATGATATGAGTGTCCTTTACCACCCCTGAAAAGCAAATGTGGTCGCGGATGCTTTGAGTCGTATATCTATGGGTAGTGTGTCACATGTAGAGGAAGAGAAAAGGGAGTTAGGCCATGATGAAAATAGGATAGCCCAGTTGGGTGTCCGACTTGAAGATTCTCCAAAAGGAGGTGTTATGGTCCATCATAATTCCGAGTCATCGATTGTTGTTGACATGAAGTATAAGCAACATCTTTACCTTATATTGATCGAACTAAAAGAGTCGGTTCTCAACAAAGCAATAGAAACTCTCTCAAGGAGAAGATGGGGTGTTTAGGCACCAAGGAAGATTATGTGTGCCGAATGTGGATGGCCTAAGAGATACAATCTTAGAGGAGGCCCATGAGTCCCGATACTCCATCCATTCGGGAGCCACCAAAATGTATCGTGACTTATGTGAGATTTATTGGTGGAACGGAATGAAAAGAGACATAGCACATTTTGTGGCTAGGTGCTCAAATTGCCAACAAGTCAAAGCCGAGCACCAAGGACTGGGAGTTCTAACTCAAGATATTGATACCCCCAATTGGAAGTGGGAAGAGATCAATATGTACTTCGTGGTAGGTTTGCCTCGAACCCGTTGGCAACATGATTCTATTTGGGTCATTGTGGATAGATTGACTAAATCAGCCCATTTCCTTCCTGTCAAGGTTTCTTATTAGGCAGAAGATTATGCTCAGTTGTACATTAAGGAGATTGTGAAGTTGTATGGGGACCCGTTGTCGATTATTTCGAATAAAGGGGCCCAATTTACATCCCATTTTTACAGGTCTTTTTAAAGTGGTCTTGGTACTCAAGTGAAGTTTAGTACCGCATTTCACCCTCAAATGGATGGTCAAGCGGAACGCACCATTTAAACCCTAGAAGACATGTTGAGAGCGTGTGTCATTGACTTCAAAGGTAATTGGGATGACCATCTACCTTTGATAGAATTTTCCTACAACAATATGGCACCCTTTGAAGCACTTTATGGTAGAAGGTGTCGATCTCCGATTGTGTGGTTTGAAGTAGGGAATTTGCCCTTCTTGGTCCCAAGGTAGTCTATGAGGCTACGGAAAAAGTTTAACTTATAAGGGATAGGTTGAAAATGGCTCATAGTTGGCAAAAGTCTTATGCCGATAAAAGAAAGAGAGATCGTGAATTGGAAATAGGTGATTGGGTCTACTTGAAGATCTTACCCATGAAAGGGGTGATGAGGTTTGGTAAGAAGGGGAAACTTTACCCCCGGTATTTTGGGCCTTATGAGATCTTGAAGCATGTCGGAAAGGTCGCTTACGAGTTGAAATTACCCATCGAATTGGCCCTGGTTCACCCAGTGTTCCATATTTCGATGTTAAAGAAGTGTATAGGTGACCTCGTGTCCATTCTGCCTTTAGAAGGTTTAGGGGTGAATGAGAACATTTCTAATGAAGAGGTTCCAGTCGAAATCCTTGATTGTCAAGTGAAGAAGTGAGGAATAAAGAGGTTGCCTCAGTAAAAGTCCTATGGAGAAACCACCTAGTTGAGGGTGCAACAGGGGAGGTCGAGGCCGACATGAAGTCCCACTACCCTCATCTTTTTCCTCCTACTCCTAGACAAAGTTGAGGTTAGTAGTCTCTCTTAATTAGGTATAAATTTAAAATCATGTGTGTTGATGATTATGACATGATTTCCTTGTATGTGCATATTTTTTGTGAAAATTTATGCTTAAAGTTGTATTTTGAGTTTTCATGAATTTTATTTCTCATGATTGAAATTGCACCCATAGATGTTGTGTGATGTTGTCTTCATGAGAGTTGTAATGAGCATGCTTGATGTTGTCTTGGTAAATAAATGTCTTGTTGATTGCTTATCATATATGTTAATGCTCACTGAATATGGAGAAGGTAGTTCCTCCTATACTATTGTGAAGTAAAGAGTTTTGAGCATAGTGATATTGTGGATTAAATTCCCATATGATTTGATGATATGATGTGATTGATTGTTGTGCTGCTAGTTTGAGTCTTTGTCTCCCTAGAAAGAAGTCCAAGTGACATTTGGGGACGAATGTTCCTAAGGGAGGGATATTGTAACACCCCGGAAATTATATGACTTAAGTTAGAGCCTCACCTTATGAATAATGACTTAAAAATAGTTAAAATTATGTTTATAAACCTAAACTAATGTAATTGACTTGGTTGGGAAGAGTAAAAGTCTAAACGTCAAGAAACGACCACGACCTTCGGAAACTAGAGAAGAATGTGTTCTAGTGTGTCCTTAGGTTTTGGGCAGATTTGGGATTGTCATATGTTGGTATAATCTTGTCAAAAGAGTTAAAATAGATAAATATATGTTTATAGACAAAAAACTTTTGAATATGAAGCCCTGGGAAGACCCTTAGAGGCCCCAAGGGGGACCCCAACCATGGACAAGCAAGCTGCCAAGGCAGCTTGCAAATTGCTCTTGGAGGGAACAAGGGCGCGTCGCGGACTTGCTCCCCCAAGGAGCAAAAAGTTTGTTCGAGACACGGTCATTTCGCGGAATCTACTGTCTCGAAATTTAATTCCAAATATATTCAAGGAGCAGCTCCGCGACATAGACTTGTTCCACGACGAAAATGCAGAAATTCAGAAATCTATTTTTACTTCATTAAAGAGTCCACTTAAGCGAGGGGTGTTTAGGGTACTTTAGGGGATGTGTATATAATGATTTTTAAGTCAATTTACCTTACTTTTATCACTCAAACATAAAACCCCATAGATCTAAACCTAAAGTTCCTCCTTCTTTCTACTCTCTCTTTCTTCTCAAGAACTCCATTGAAGTAGATTGGAGCTTCAACAAGAAGACCAAATCTCCAAGGTTTCAACTCGGATTTTCGTGGTTAATTCGTCAATAAGGATGGTTTCTTACCAATCTTGGGATTGTTTTCCCTAAGAGGACCCTTCAAGATGAATTTCAAAATCTCCAATTTCTAGGTTTCAATAAAAAAAATGTGTGTCTTCTTTCTAAAGTGAAATTGATGTTATAAACTGACTTTGATTGATGTTATATGAACAATTATGAATTAAATTATGCTGTATTGGTGGTTTCTTGAAGAATTCCACATGAGACCCATGTTTCTCCTTCTTTTCCTAATTTCAACCATAGTTTTTGTTGGATATTGAATGAAGGCTATGAATTGAATGTGATATTATGTAATTCATGTTTGTATGATGATTCTACCCTAGGTTATGTATAATTTCTATGAAATTAGCATTGAGTCTTTAAATGAAGCCTTGAAGGCTATGAAGGGAATATGTCAATTGCTTATATTGTTGTTAATTATGTTATTACTTCTTGAATTACCTTGTATTATGCATTGGTTATGAATTTCTTGGTAATTGAATTATGGATGTCCCACGAAGGGCAAGAAGGTATGAAGGTTGGTTCTATTTGAATTCAAGTATGAAAGGTGGATTACTTAGATTGTAATGATGTTATACCTAATGTTTTATTGTGGTGTTGATGACCTAGTTTCCTCATCCTTAACCCTCTAAACTAGAATTAGATGTGAAGTATGCATGTATACTATGGTATAATTGTCATATGATTGAAAGGTAGTTCTCATGATTGTTGTGTAATGTAAAGTGAACGGTTTACTCACTTGCTAAGTGTCTCTAAAGTGAAAGGATTGTTACTAAGTTATGAACACATATGAGCTATTATGGTAATATGTCTACACTTGTTTATTAAAGGCTAACGTGAACTTACGTGATGACTAAAGATGATTGCAACAGGGAATCAGATGCTTAGCTCCGCAAGGGAATGTAAATGACATGAGGGTCTCACGTTTAGTAAGTTCGGCTCCCCACATGGGTTTCCGCACGTTGAGCAAGTCTGGATTACCTACGGCATGTGTTGTCTCATGAGATGGAAACCCCCACATTTAGTATGTTAGGATTTCTAAAACCAATCTCCTTGACCCTTAACTATGTGCCAACATAGGACACTAGCTTAGTGGATCCACCTAGATAGCTATGTACGAATGGTTACACCTTAGGCAAGTGTTAACCCTCTATTTTCGGTGTGGGAGTAGAACACTGGATTCCATATAGCTTTCATGGTCTATGTCGGTTATTGCAATATTTCCCTAAAGTAAAAGTAAATGAAGGTATGAAAGTTGTGAACTCTTACTAGGGCTTTCTTAAGGGTTTCTACATAGTGTAAGGGAGGGTATGGAACTTCTCTTGCATTTTGCACTTGTGGGATCCTAAAAGATGGTTGTAGTAGTGTTCTCTTATGATTATGATTATTATGACTTATCTATGTTGAAGCTATGTTATGTATGGTCATTATGAATGTGGTTAGTTATGATGAAATATGATCTTATGAACGTATGCATGAAGTAGGTTTCTTAATATGATACTTGGCTTTGAATAGGGTTATGGGGTTCTATTCTTTGCATTGCACTAGTATTGCTTGGGTTGTCTACATGTTGGGATGATAATATGTTGGTTTGGACTATGATACTTAATTTTTGTGCATATTGGATTTACTTGGCAATAAGCATGTTTTGAATAAAATGTCCTTTTATGCATGTTTCAATGGTTTTTATGCATAGTAGCCATACTTAGTATGTGTGTTGTACTACCCCATATTTTATCCCTTTTTCCCAAACATTTAGGTGCGGGCCGTTGAGGAATTCGAGCTTAGTTCTCAACACACTTGGAGTTGCTTCCCTAAGTTGGTGCTTCCTTATGTCCGAGGACAAGACCCTATGATCTAGCTTCTATGTTTATTTCTTTGATTATGTTGGAAGACATTGTTATACTTACTATTTTCAAGACTTCTTATTGATGTAAGGGCTAAGTCCCATTTTTGATACTTCTATGTCTAGATGGTGCATTGTGACGAAGTTAGATTCTATTTTTCATATATGAAGTGAAATTGAACTTCCAAAGTAAAAGTTTTAAATTTTTCGTGATTTTATTCTACAATACAGGTTATGATGAATGCTAAGGGCTTGTATAAGACCTCTTCGACATCGAATACACCGGTAACGATTAGGGGGTGATCTCGGGTCGTTACAGATTTGGTATTATAGGATAAGGCTGAGAATAATATAGGATTCATGTCGCAAGACACCACTTCTAGTAGAGTCTTGTTTATGGGTGTGAAGCGCGCCACACTTACTAATGAGAGGCTCCGAGATGCTTAGGAACTTTTACTCTTTTGTTATTCCATAGTCGTGCCTAATAGTCTTAACACTATTTAGTCCTTTTCTTCTAATCCATCTCTTGTGCTTATAGGCAATGAATACAAGAAGGAACAACACAATGAGGTCTGCTGAGGATAATGTGACTGAGGAGGTTCCCCCTCAAGCTCCGCAAAACCCTCTAGTTCCTATTGAAGAAGGGGCTATGTCTAATGCTGAGATAAGGTCGGCTATTCATAATTTGACACTAGTGTTGGCCACTCAAGTTGCAAGGGATACTAGGGTGCAAGTGAACCCCAATGCTAGCACTACCACTTCTAGGATAAGGGATTTCACAAGAATGAATCCCCCTACTTTCTTTCGCTCCAATGTGGAAGAAGATCCACAATGGTTCATTGATGAACTGTTTAAGGTTCTAGAGGCTATGGATGTGACTTCTCAAGAAAAGGCGGAGTTAGCCGCCTATCAACTCAAAGATATGGCACAAGTGTGGTATGAACAATGAAAGGAAGGGAGACCTATTAGAGAGGGTCCGATAAGTTGGGCTACATTCAAGATGGCTTTTATTGATAGGTTTTTCCCCTTGGAACTAAGGGAGAGGAAAATGCAATAATTCATCAACCTCCGTTAAGGGGGTATGAGTGTGAAGGAGTATGGCCTCAAGTTATGCGTGTATCCGATCTTGTGGTGAATGAATGTAGGTCGGCTATGCCAATCCCAAGCATGGACATTTCTCGCCTTATGGTTCATGCCGAGCTAATTGAGGAGCAAAAGCTTAAAAAAGTTGGTACAAAATTGAAGAGGTCAAGGACCGATCATGGAAATTCTTCTAAGGTTAGGTGTGAAATCCAAGATAAGCCAAATTTCAATAAGAGGTTTTTCAACCAAGGTCCTCCTAACACTCCAAGGGTCAACAAAGGTAACGTGTCTACCCCAAAGCCTCAAGAAGCAAGACGTGGTGGTCCTTATGTTAAGAAGCCTATTTGTGCAAAGTGTGGTCGAAAACATGAAGGCAAGTGCCTAGTTGGCACGGGTAATTTTTATGGTTGTGGTAAGAGCGGCCACATGAGGAGGTACTGCCCTATGCTAAAGGCTCAAGGAAGGGAAAATACTCAAGCACAAGCAAGTGGACCAAATCCCGATGCTCCTAAAAAGAATCGCTTCTATGCTCTTCAATCCCGAGGTGATCAAGAGAGCTCTCCAGATGTTGTGACCGGTATGCTACAAATATTTTCAGTTAATTTTTATGCATTGTTGGATCCCGGTACCAATTTGTCTTTTGTAACCCTTTAGTGGTTATGCAGTTTAATATGCTTCCCGATGTCTTTGATAAACCCTTTTCGGTTTCTACCCCGGTGGGTGATTCCGTAGTTGCTAAAAGAGTCTATATGGGTTGTCCCATATCATTGCCCAATAGAGTCACTTTGTTTGATTTGGTGGAACTTGATATGTTAGACTTTGATGTTATATTGGGGATGGATTGGCTTCATGCTTGTTTTGCGTCCATAGATTGTAGGACCCGAATTGTGAAGTTTCAATTTCCTAATGAACCCATTTTAGAATGGAAGAGAGGAAATTCCATTCCTAGGGGAAGGATCGTTTCATGTCTAGAAGCTTGTAAGTTGATTTCTAAGGGTTGTCTCTATTATATTGTGAGGGTCAAGGATCTTGAGTAAAAGATTCCTCTTTTGGAGTCGGTCCCCATAGTGAAGGATTTTCTTAAAGTCATTCCCGATGACTTATCCGGGAATCCTCTCGAACGGGAAATAGATTTCGACCAAGATTTATTGTCGGATACACAACCCATTTCAATCCCTCCTTACCGGATGGCCCCAGCGGAGTCGAAGGAATTAAAAGCTCAACTCAAAGATTTGTTGGATAAGGGTTTCATCCAACCTAGTATATCTCCTTGGGGTGCACCGGTGTTATTTGTGAAGAAGGTGGATGAATTTGTTCGTATGTATATTGATTACCGACAGTTAAATAAAGTGACCATAAAGAACAAGTATCCACTCCCTAGGATTGATGACTTATTTTATCAACTTCAAGGAGCGAGTTACTTTTCAAAAATTGATTTGGGGTTTGGTTATCACTAACTTAGGGTGAGAGGTGTTGATGTTCCAAAAATATCCTTATGAACAGGATATGGTCATTTTGAGTTCTTAGTGATGTCCTTTGGTATTACAAATGCCCCGGCGGCTTTCATGGATCTTATGAATCGTATGTTTAGAAATTTTCTAGACTCATTTGTTATTGTCTTTATTGATGACATCTTGATATAGTCTAAAAGTGAGGATAATCACATGAATCATTTTAGGATAGCGCAAGCCCTCAAAGATCACCAACTCTATGCTAAGTTTAGCAAGTGCGAGTTTTGGCTAAGATCGGTTGCTTTCCTTGGTCAGATTGTTTCTAGTGAGGGTATAGAAGTTGATCCAAAGAAAACCGATGTGGTCAAAAGTTTGCATAGACCTTTGAATCCTTCCAACATCCGAAGCTTTTTGGGTTTGGCCGGTTATTATCGGAGGTTTGTTGACGGATATTCATCTATTGCATCTCCATTAATGGCCTAAACTTAAAAGAAGTCCAAGTTCGAATGGTCGGAATCTTGTTAAAAGAGCTTCCAATTATTGAAAGATAAGCTCACCTCCGTTTCGATTTTGACCTTATCGGAGGGCACCGGAGGGTTTGTAGTTTATTGTGAGTCTTCCCGAGTGGATTTGGGTTGTGTCCTCATGCAGTATGGGAAGTATAGCTTATGACTCGAAACAACTCAAGGTGCATGAGAAGAATTATCCAACTCATGACCTTGAGCTTGCGGCTGTAGTCTTTGCTTTTGAGATTTGGAGACACTATCTCTATAAGGTACATGTGGATGTGTTTACCGAACACAAGACTCTTCAATATGTTTTTAGACTAAAATAATTGAATCTCCAATAAAGGAGGTGGTTGGAACTCTTAAAATATTATGATATGAGTGTCCTTTACCACCCCGGAAAAGCAAATGTGGTTGCGGATGATTTGAGTCGTATATCTATGGGTAGAGTGTCACATGTGGAGAAAGAGAAAAGGGAGTTAGCCCGTGATGTCATAGGCTAGCCTGGTTGGGTGTCCGACTTGAAGAATCCCCAAAGGTGGTGTTATGGTCCGTCATAATTCCGAGCCATCGGTTGTTGTTGACGTGAAGTCTAAGCAACATCTTTACCCTATATTTATGGAACTAAAAGAGTCGGTTCTCAACAAATTAATAAAAACTTACTCTCAAGGAGAAGATATGGTGCTCCAAGGAAGATTATGTGTGCCGGATGTAAATGGCCTAAGAGATACAATCTTAGAGGAGGCCCATGGGTCCCGATAATCCATCCATCCGGGAGCCACCAAAATGTATCGTGACTTACGTGAGATTTATTGGTGGAATGGAATGAAAAAAGACATAACAGATTTTGTGGCTAGGTGCTCAAATTGCCAATAAGTCAAAGCCGAGCACCAAGGACCGGGAGGTCTAACTCAAGATATTGATACCCCCATTGGAAGTGGGAAAAGATCAATATGGACTTCGTGGTAGGTTTGCCTCTAACCCATAGGCAACATGATTCCATTTGGGTCATTACAGATAGATTGACTAAATCAACTCATTTCCTTCCCGTCAAGGTTTCTTTTTCGGTGGAAGATTATGCTAAGTTGTACATTAAGGACATTGTGAAATTGCATGGGGCCCCGTTGTCGATTATTTCGAATAGATGCCCAATTTACTTCCCATTTTTGGAGGTCTTTCGAAAGTGGACTTGGTACTGAAGTGAAACTTAGTACCGCATTTCACCCTCAAACGGATGGTCAAGTGGAATGCACCATCCAAACCCTAGAGGACATGCTGAGAGCGTGTGTCATTGACTTCAAAGGTAATTGGGATGAACACCTACCTTTAATAGAATCTTCCTACAACAATAGCTTCCACACGAGTTTTGCCATGGCACACTTTGAAGCACTTTATGGTAGTATGTGTCGATCTTTGGTTAGGTGGTTTGAAGTAGGTGAATTTGCTCTTCTTGGTTCCGAGGTAGTCTATGAGGCTATGGAAAAAGTTCGACTCATAAGGGATAGGTTGAAAATGGCTTATAGTCAGCAAAAGTCTTATGCCGATAATAGAAAGAGAGATCTTGAATTTGAAGTAGGTGATTGGGTCTACTTGAAGATCTCACCCATGAAAGGGCTGATGAGGTTTGGTAAGAAGGGGAAACTTAGCCCCCGGTATGTTGGGCCTTATGAGTTCTTGAAGCGTGTTGGAAAGGTCTCTTATGAGTTGAAATTACCCATCGAATTGGCCCCGGTTCACCCAGTGTTCCATATATTTATGTTAAAGAAGTGTATAGGTGACCTAGTGTCCATTCTCCCTCTAGAAGGTTTAGGGGTGAATGAGAACCTTTCTTAAGAAGAGGTTCCGGTTGAAATCCTAGATCGTCAAGTTAAGAAGTTGAGGAATAAAGAGGTTACCTCCATAAAAGTCCTCTGGAGAAACCACCTAGTTGAGAGTGCAACATAGTAGGCCGAGGCCGACATGAAGTCCCGCTACCCTCATCTTTTTCCTCCTACTCCTAGCCAAAGTTGAGGTTAGTAGTCTCTCTTAATTAGGTATAAATTGAAAATCATGTGTGTTTATGATTATGACATGATCTCCCTGTATGTGCATATTTTTGTGAAAATTCATGCTTAAAGTTGTATTTTGAGTTTTCATGAATTTTGTTTCTCATGATTAAAAATGCACCCATAGATGTTGTGTGATGTTGTCTTCATGAGAGTTGTAATGAGCATGCTTGATGTTGTCTTGCTAAAGAAATGTCTTGCTAATTGCTTAACATATATGTTGATGCTCATTGAATATGGAGAAGGTAGTTCCCCCTATACTTATGTGAAGTAAAGAGTTTTGAGCACAGTGATGTTGTGGATTAAATACCTATATGATATGATGATATGATGTTGATGTGATTGATTGTTGTGCTGCTAGTTTAAGTCTTTGTCTCCCTAGAAAGAAGTCCAAGTGACATTCGGGGACGAATGTTCCTAAGGGGGGGATATTGTAACACCTCGGAAATTCTATGACTTAAGTTAGAGCCTCACCTTATGAATAATGACTTAAAAATAGTTTAAATAATGTTTATAAACCTAAACTAATGTAAATGACTTGGTTTGGAAGAGTAAAAGTCTAAACGTCAAGAAACGACCACGACGCCCGGAAACTAGAGAAGAATGTGTTCTAGTGTGCCCTTATGTTTTGGGCAGGTCTGGGAGTGTCGTATAATGGTATAATCATTTAAAAAGAATTAAAATAGGTAAATATATTATAGGGTCAAAACATTTGAATACGACGCCCTGGACTACCCTAAGGGGACCAAAGGGGGACCCCAACCTTGGACAAGCAACCTGCCAAGGCAGTTTGCAAATTGCTCTTGGAGGGAACAAGGGCGCGTGGCGGACTTGTTCACCCAAGGAGCAAAAAGTTTGTTCGCAACGCAGTCATGTCGCGGACTCTACTGTCTCGAAATTTAATTCCAAATATCTCATTAAAGAGTCCATTTAAGTAAGGGGTATTTAGAGTACTCTAGGGGATGTGTATATAATGATTTTTAAGTCAATTTACCTCACTTTTATCACTCAAACACAAAACCCCAATGATCTGAACCTAAAGTTCCTCCTTCTCTCTACTCTCTCTCTCTTCTCAAGAACTCCATTGAAGAAGATTGGAGCTTCAAGAAGAAGACCAACTCTCCAAGGTTTCAACTCGGATTTTCGTGCTTAATTCGTCAATAAGGTATGGTTGCTTATCACTCTTGAGATTCCTTTCCCCAAGAGGCCCTTTCAAGATGAATTTCAAAATCTCCAATTTCTAGGTTTCAATCCAAAAACGTGGGTCTTCTTTCTAAAGTAAAATTGATGTTATAAACTGACTTTGATTGATGTTATATGAACAATTATAATTGAAATTATGTTGTATTGGTGGTTTCTTAAAGAATTCCCCATGAGACCCATGTTTCTCCTTCTTTTCCTAATTTTAACCCTAGTTTGTGTTGGATATTGAATGAAGGCTGTGAATTGAATATGATGTTATTTAAGTCATGTTTGTACGATGATTCTACCCTAGGTTATGTATAATTTCTATGAAATTAGTGTTGAGTCTTTAAATGAAGCCCTGAAGGCTATGAAGGGAATATGTATTATGCATTGGTTATTAATTGCTCGATAATTGAAGTATGGACGTCCCAGGAAGGGCAAGAAGGTGTGAAGGTTGGTTCTATTTGAACTCAAGTATGAAAGGTGAATTACTTAGATTGTAATGATGTTATACCTAATGTGTTATTGGGGTGTTGATGACCTAGTTTCCTCATCCTTAACCCTCTACACTTGAATTAGATGTGAAGTATGTATGTATATTATGGTATGATTGCTATATGATTGAAAGGTAGTTCTCATGATTGTAGTGTAATAATTGAAAGGTTTACTCATTTGCTAAGTGTCTCTAAAGTAAAGTATTGTTATACACTTATGAACACATATGAGCTATTATGGTAAGATGTCTACATAAAGGTATATTAAAGGCTAATGTGAACTTATGTGATGACTAAAGATGATTACAAAAGGGAATCAGATGCTTAGCACCGAAAGGGCATGTACATGAGATGGGGGTCTCACGTTTAGTAAGTCCGACTCCCCACATGTGTTTCGTCACGTTTAGCAAGTCCAGATTACCTATGGTATGCATTGTCTCATGAGATGAAAACCCCCACGTTTAGTAAGTTAGTGTTTCTAAAAGAAATCTCCTTGACCCTTAACTAGGTGCCCACATAGGACACTAGCTTAGTGGATCCACCTAGATAGCTTTGTACGAATGGTTACAGCTTAGGCAAATGTTAACCCTCTCTTTTCGGTGTGGGAGTAGAACATCGGATTCCATGTAGCTCTCATGCGCTATGTCGGTTATTGCAATATTTCCCTAATGTAAAAGTAAATGAAGGTATGAAAGGTGTGAACTTTTACTAGGGCTTTCCTAAGGGTTTCTACATAGTGTAAGGGAGGGTATGGGACTTCTCTTGCACATTGCACTTGTGGGATCCTAAGAGATGGTTGAAGTAGTGTTCTCTAATGATTATGATTATTATGAGTTATGTATGTTGAAGCTATGTTATGTATGATCATTATGAACGTGGTAAGTTATGATGAAATATGATCTTATGAACATATGCATGAAGTAGGTTGCTTAATGTGATACTTGGCTTTGAATAGGGTTATGGGGTTCTATTCTTTGCATTGCACTAGTATTGCTTGGGTTGTCTACATGTTGGGATGATATTATGTTGGTTTGGACTATGATACTTAATTTGTGTGCATATTGGATTTACTTGGCAAAAAGCATGTTTTGAATAAAATGTCCTTTTATGCATGTTTCAATGGTTTTTATGCATAGTAGCCATACTTAGTACGTGTGTTGTACTAACCCATATTTTCTCCCTTTTTCCCAAACATTTAGGTTCGGACCGTTGAGGATTCAAGCTTACTTATCAAGACACTTGGAGTTGCTTCCTCAAGTTGGAGAGTCCTCAAGTCCAAGGACAAGACCCTATGTTGTAGCTTCTATGTTTAGTGTTTTGCTTATGTTTAAAGACATTGTTGTACTTCCTATTTTCAAGACTTCTTATTGATGTAAGAGCTAAGTCCCATTTTCAATACTTCTATGTCTAGATGGTGCATTGTGACGAAGTTAGATTCTATTTTTCATATATGAAGTGAAGTTGAACTTCCAAAGTAAAATTTTTAAATTTACGTGATTTTATTCAATGATACTTCTTCGAGGTCAAATACGCCGGTAATGACTAGGGGGTGATCTCGGGTTGTTAAAGGGTCGGAGGAAAAAGATGAGGGTATCGGGACTTCATGTCGGCCTAGGCCTCCCATGTTGCACCCTCAACTAGGTGCTTTTTCCATAGGACTTTTACAGAGGCCACCTCTTTATTCCTCAACATCTTAACTTGACGATCTATGATTTCGATCGGAACCTCTTCATAAGAAAGGTTCTCATTTACCCCTAAACCTTCTAGAGGGAGAATTGACACCGGGTCACCTATACACTTCTTTAACATAGAAATATGAAACACCAGGTAAACTGGGGCCAATTCGATGGGCAATTTCAACTCATAAGCGACCTTTCCGACACGCTTCAAGATCTCATAAGGCCCAATATACCGGGGGCCAAGCTTCCCCTTCTTACCAAACCTCAGCACCCCTTTCATGGGTGAGATCTTCAAGTAGACCCACTTACCTACTTCAAATTCAAGATCCCTTTTTCTATTATCGACATAAGACTTTTGCCGACTATGAGCCATTTTCAACCTATCCCTTATAAGTCGAACCTTTTTCATAGCCTCATAGACTACCTCGGAACCAAGAAGAGCAAATTCACCTACTTTAAACCACCCAACCGGAGATCGACACCTTCTACCATAAAGTGCTTCCACTACAACAAATTTGGCCTACGGCGACACTTATTTTAGACCACACTTTAGAAACGTTGCAAAAAATATTTAAGGGCACACGATCAAACCTTTTGGCTACAAAATAATAGACCATGCCTAAAAAATGTTCCCTTAGACAATATGGGTTACACTTTTAAGTGTTGCCCAATCATAAAATAATTGGCAACACTTTATTATATGTTTTGCTACGCTTTTTAAGTGTTATTAATTTTTAATTATAATGACAACACTTTATAATTGTGCCTTAAATATTCACTTAAATTTTCAGCTAAATTTATCATTCCTTCAATATATTGGGTTTTAAGAAAAATTAGCGCGATCCTCAATGTTCTTAAGAATTTTTTTGTCATTCATCATTCAGATAGTGAACAGTCACTCTCATCCCTAAAAAATTTCTGAATCAAATCTGGGAATATTTTTTGTCATTCATCGATTAAAAAGGAGTATGTTACTTTCTTCAAAACTATATTGAGGCAAATCTGTTGAATCTTCCACAAGCGTTCATCTTTGACGTAGGGTTTTGAAAAACTTTGAGATTTCATCATAAATCAACGCCTTCTTACGGGTTTCATTATTACACTCGGTAATATTAAATATCCTTCATCATATTGTTTTAATTTGTGAGCTTTTGTTAGTGTGAACAGAATTTGTGCTTCGGTACATGAATCCCATAAAAATTGTGAACATAATTTTTTAAGGATTTATTTTGGGTTACAACTAATATTATGTTAGTTTGTCAACTGGGTTTTAGAGTTTCTATTTTTTCATTGTGATTTCTCGATCTGCTTTACTACGTAGGAGTTCTTGTATTTTTCCTCAATGTTAATTTTTGTAAGTATTTTCTACAGGTTTGTACTTGTTATTATATATATCTTGATGTTTAGATTTTTTCAGTTTTTGCTTTAGCAGAAAAGATTATTACTCTTTGGTGGTGAGCTTGCTACTTATAAAAAATAGTTTTCTGTGAGCTTGGTAGCATATGGTGCAATGTTAATAGTTTTTTCTGATTTTGTTAGGATTTTCTCTATGAGTTTGGTAGCATATTTATCGTGTGAATTTGGTAGCATATTGATTTTGAATAATACTAATTTCAATTTATTTTTTCTCCTAGAAAATTATCCTACACGTGAGAAGATTTAGTGGACTTGAACTTGAATTTTGACTTAAAGTAATTGTCATGGCTGGGTAAGAACTTCTTATCCTCTTTATTTTCTTATTGTTCTATTTTATACTATATATAATGTTGAAGAATAAGTTTCAATTTTAGGATCTATTTATATTGTTAATGCATAGATTAATGTATATCTTGGACATTTTACATCACCTTTTAATATTTAGTATCTCAAATAATTTATCTAAGTGTTGGATGGATTATCCAAGGTATAGTAAAGAGTATATTGATGGTGTTCAATCTTTTTTGGACTTTGCTTACTCTGTTGGAGATCCTCAAGGAGAACAAATTCAATGCCCATGTTCAAAGTGTTGTAATATCCATTGGTATCGAAGGAACGTAATATATCATCATTTAATATGCTATGGCTTTGTTCAAGGCTATACAAGATGGATCAATCATGGGTAATGGGAAATACTGAAAAATGTTGATACTAACATGGATGAAGCTCACTCATATGATGATATTGATGGATTGTTGAATGATACCTTTTGGAAATATTGTACAAGATGAAGGAGCTTATGAAGGCCCAAATGAAGACGCCCAAATTTTTTATAATTTAGTTAATGAGGCAAGCCAAGAACTATATCCAGGTTGTAAAGGTTTCTCTAAATTATCATTCAGAAACCGTTTATAGTTGTTGAAGTGTCTCCATGGATGGAGCAATGCTTCTTTTACTTCTCTCTTGGAGTTATTGAAAGAAGTGATTCCTGAGATGAAGATTCCTGAATCTTACAATAAAGCCAAGGCCGTGGTAAGGGACTTAGGTCTTGACTATAAAAAGATTGATGCTTGTCCTAATGATTGTATGTTATTTAGAGGTGACCATAAAGATGATGAGTATTGCCATGTTTGTGGAGCTTCTCGATTTGTTGAACATCCTGAAGTAGATAGTAATCTTGAGTCTTCTAAGAAACCTCATCGTGTTCCTATTAAAATATTGAGACACTTTTCGTTGATTCCTAGACTCAAAAGGCTATTTATCAGCTCAAAAACAGCAGAATCATTAAGATGGCATGACGAGCAACGTTCTAAAGATGGAAAGTTAAGGCATCGTGCTGATGGATGAGCATGGAAAGAATTTGATAACATACATCAAGAATTTGCAAAAGACTCGTAATTTGAGACTTGGTTTAGCAAGTCATGGATTCAATCCATTTCGAACCATGAGCACATCTCACAGCACATGGCCAGTTATGTCAATGGTGTATAATTTACCTCCATGGATGTGCATGAAATCATAATACCTTATGCTTTCTTTGCTTATACCTGGACCGCGATCACCTGGAAATGACATTGACATTTATCTACATCCATTAATAGAAGAGTTGAAGGAGTTGTGGGAGTTCGGGGTAGAAACATATGTTGCTTCAAAAAATCAAACTTTTCAAATGCGAGCAGCTCTTTTGTGGACAATTAATGACTTTCCTGCATATGCTATGTTGTTCGGTTGGAGTAAAAAAGGAAAGTTGGCTTGCCCTTGTTGTAATTATGGCACTAACTCGTTCTATCTAAAACATAGTCGAAAAATTGGTTATATGAGCCATCGTGTTTTTCTACTTATGGATCATCCGTGAAGATCTGATAAAAATCTTTTAATGGAAAGACAGAACTCAGGTCTCCTCCTCCTTTATTGCAGGGAACATATCTCCTTAATAGCCTACAGAATGTTGAAAATGTATTTGGAAAAGTGCAAAATAAATCAAATAATGGCCCATGGAAGAAACGATCAATCTTTTTTGAATTGCCGTATTGGCAACACAATTTGCTGCGTCATAACCTTGATGTAATGCACATAGAGAAGAATATAGTTGATAGTATAATTGGAACACTTTTGGATATTTCTGGCAAGACGAAGGATCATCCAAATGCTCGTTATGACCTCAAAGAGATGGTCATTGGGAAGAGCCTTCAACCAAAAGATACAAAGGATGGTAGGAAAGTAAAGCTTCCAACAGCGTGCTTTTCAATGTCTAAGGGAGAAAAATCTATTTTTTGTGGTGTTCTCAAAAAGGCAAAGCTGCCTGACGGTAGTTCTTCTAATATTTCTGGATTTGTGAAGCTAGCTGAAAGAAAAATATCTAATTATAAGACTCATGATGAACATTTCATGTTACATTATCTGCTGCCTACACCAATTAAAAGCATATTTCGTGATCATGTTGCTATTTCTTTGATTCGTTTAAGTTCCTTCTTTCGTCGTTTATGTCAAAAAGTTATTTCATTGGAAGAACTGGATCGTTTAGAACTAGAAAATTAAAGAAACATAGTGTCAGTTGGAGTGAATTTTCCCCCTAGCTTCTTGATATAATGATTCATTTGTCTGTTCATTTGGCGAATGAGATAAGATTAGGAGGTCCAGTACAACATCGATGGATGTATTCTCCTGAAAGAGAAATGGGCACTTTTAAGTCATATGTTCGTAACAGAAGGCATCCAGAAAGATGTATTGTAGAGGCACGTCGGGTTACAGACTATTTGAATTCATGCTCTAGATATTTTCACGAGGGTGTACAAACCAAATTTAACAGAAGACCCCGAAATGATGATGACTGTGTATCACCAGATGTGCAAACTTCTAACTTGTTTCCTAATAGAGGTTGTCCACTAGGTGCAAAAAAGGGCGAGCCAACCTTTCTTGATAAAAAGTCACGACATCAAGCACATGGATATATACTGAACAATTGTGATGAAGTTCTAGAATATATTAGGTAAATTGATTCACTAGTATTATATCATTTATTGTATATACTTCTTAAATTATTTTACTCATCTGATTGCTAACAAATAACAAAATTTGTTCTGTAGAAAGCATGAACTTGAGGTTAGTAATCAGGGAAAAGGATCCAAATGGAGTAAGGACAAAAATCATAGTCAACGCTTCTCTCAATGGTTTGAAGCTCGTGTAATGCATGAGGATGTGTCAGATTTGATAAAACATTTATCGAGAGGACCCAATTCAGTTGCTAAAAGATATGCAGGGTATATTATAAATGGGTATAGATTTCAAACAAGGCGACGTGAAGCAAAGCGTAAAACACAAAATAGTGTTGTTACATTAGTTGCTTTAACTACGAGTTTTGCAAGCTCTAAGGATAAAAATCAGATTGATGCAAATCTAACTTATTATGGTAAAATAGTAGATATCCTTGAGTTGGATTACTATAACCATTTTAAAGTTGTCCTATTTAAGTGTGAATGGTATGAGGCTAAAGAGGATATTTATGGCTTTACTTATGTCTACTTCAACGAAAGGTGCTCTCAGGAAGAGCCTTTTCTATTAGCATCTCAAGCTCATCAATGTTTTTATGTGAAGGATCCATATGATGATGATAAGCATTATGTTATGAAAATAGTCCCAAGAGACTTATTTAGTATGAGTGATGAAGCCAAATTTGATGTCCCC